AAAAATCTTTGAAGAAATAATGACCAAAAGTTCTCCAAATCTGATGAAAACTATAAATCTACAGCTTCAAGAAACTCGATAAATCCCAAGATATGCACAAAGAAAACCACATCAAGGTACATCATAATCAAACTGCTCAGTCATAAAAGAAAGTCTTAAAAGCAGCCAGAGATAAAAAGATACTTATAAAAAGGGATATAAATGTAATATGTACAGACTTCTTGCCAGAGCAATGCAAGCAAGAAAACGATGGAATGGCATCTTCAAATTAATGAAAAGATCCCTGTCCATCTGGAATTTTATATTCAGTGAAAATAGCCTTGAAAAATTAAGGAGAAATAAACACTTTTTCAGACCAAAAAAAGCTGAGAGAATTCCTCACTAGCAGATGTGCATAAAAAGAAATATTAAAGGAAGTTCTTCAAGCTGAAGGAATATGATAGGTGGAAACCTGGATCTACACAAAAGAATGAGGAGTGCCAGAAACAGTAAATATGAGTGAATATAAAAGACCTTTTATCTAATTCTTAATTTTCTTACCAGGTAATTAACAGTCTAAAGTAAAATAAATAACAATATATGGTGGAGTTTATAACACATGTAGAAATAAAACGTATGATAAAAATAACATGAAGGATGAGAAGGAGGAAATGAGAATACAGTATTGTAAGTTTCTTACCTAATCAGAGAATTTGGTATAATATTATTTGAAAGCAGACTATAATAAACTCTGGAAAATGGTTGGCAAATTATGGCCAGTGAGCCAAATCGGCTTACTGCCTGTTTTTGGAAATATAATTTTTTTGGTACACAAGCATACCCATTTGGGAATGAACTTAATGCCACTGAACTATTCACATAAAAATGGTTAAAATAGTAAATTTTATGTTACATATATTTTACCACAATAAAAAATACAATAAAATAGTTCTCAAAGAAAAAGACTTCCTCATGTTATGACTCAACATAAAAAAAGAAAATATGAATATTCCCATAAAAAAGTAACACGATGAAAAAGATAATACAAACACTGATCATAAAAGATGGAGTAGATGTATTAACATCAGACAAAACAGACTTCAAGACAACAAGTATTACTAGGATAAGAATGAACATTTCATAATGATAAAAAGATCAATTACTCAGGAAGCCATAACAATCATAAATGTTAAGCCTAATAACAGGGCTTAAAACACTTGAAGCAAAAACTGACAGCAGGGCCAGCTCCATGGCCGAGCAGTTAAGTTCACATGCTCCACTTCAGTGGCCTGGGGTTTCACCAGTTCAGATCCTGGGCGTGGATATGGCCCCGCTCATCAAGCCATGCTGATGCAGCATCCCACACAGCACAACCAGAAGGACCCACAACTAGAATATACAACTATGTACTGGGCTGCTTTGGGGAGAAGAAGAAGAAGAAAAAAGAAGAAGACTGGCAACAAATGTTAGCTCAAGTGCCAACCTTTAAAAAAAAAACAAAACCTGACAGAACTGAAAAGAGAAAGAAAATTCAGTTATTAAAATTAAAAATTTCAATAGTCTTCTCCCACTAATTGACAGAACAAGTAGAGAAACCAACAAGTACAACAGAAAAATCAGTAAGGACAGAGAAGACTTGAATATCATCATCAACCAATCTGACCTAATTGACACTTATAAAACATTCAACCAACCAACAGCAGAATACAGATTTTTTTCAAGGGCACATGAAATATCACTAAGATAGACAAAATGCTTGGCCAAAAACTGAATCTTAATATATTTAAAAGGAAAAAAGTCTTACAGAGACTGACCTCAACCAAATGAAACTTGAAATCATTAACTGAAAGATATTTGGAAAATTCTCAAATATCTGGAAATTAAACAATATAGTTACAGGTCATAACCATATTCATGGGTCAAGGAAGACCTCACAAGAAAAATTTTAAAATATGTTCAACTGAATAATGATGAAAACACTACGTGTCAGAATTTGTGAGATGAAGCTAAAGCAGTGCTTAGAGAAAAATGCATAGTTTTAAATGCTTACAGTAGAAAAGAAGAAAGGCCAGAAATTGATGATCTAAGTTTCCATCTGAAGCAGCTAGACAAAGAATAGCAAATTAAATCCAAAGTAAGTAGAAGGAAGAAAATAATAAAGTTAATAGCAAAAGCCAATGAAATAGTAAATGAACAAAAATGAGAGGGAAATCAATGAAGCCAAAATCTGGTTTTTTGAAAAGACCAATAAAATTGAAAATCTCTAGCTAAACTGATCAAGAAAAAGAGAGAGAGAGAGAGAGAGAGAGAAAGAAGACACAAATTACCAATATTATGAAAGAGGGAACCTCAATGTAGGTACTACAGAGAAATATAATGATAGGGAATATTATGAGCAACTCTTTGCCAATAAATTTGACAACTTAGATGAAAAGGATGAATTCCTTCAAAGTGTGTGGGGGTCTCCAAGACCACCCCCAGCTTCAGTGATTTGTTAGGAAGACTCACAAGACTCAACAGATAGTCATACTCATGGAAGAAAAATCAGCAGAGGGAAAAGGCACATGAGGTGAAGTCTGGGAGAACCAGGCACTACCTTCCTAGAGTCCTCTCCCAGGGGAGTCATGTAGGACATGCTTCATTCCTGCAGCAATGAACTGTGACAATACATGTGAATTATTGTCTATCAGGGAAGCTCAGTAGAGACTCAGTGCTCAAGGTTCTTTTGGGTGCTAGTCACGCAGTCACCCTCTGCCTAGCACGCACCAAAACTCTGGACTCTCAGAAAGAAATCAGATGTTCAGAATAAACCCCACTGTTTGACAAACAGTTTAGGCACAGTGAGACACTCCTGTCAGTTAGGAAATGGTGGTAACTCTCCCCAAACCCAAGTTTCCAGCTATCAGTCAGGGGCCAACCTTAAAAACAGGCTTTTCTAAGGAGAGCATTCACAGCCCTGCTATGTTGGCTATTTTCTGCACAGCAACACAAGAAGAAATTGAGAATATGAACAGCCCTACAAATAATCTAAATAGTGAATTTGTTATTAAAATTATTCCCACAAAGAAAAAGCCCAGATAGCTTCCTTGGTGAATTCTACCTAATATTTAGTAAAGAAATAACACCAGTTCTACACAATACTCTTTCAGGAAGAAGGAACACATTCTCACTCCGTTCATGAGGCCAGTATTACTGATACAAAAACCAGACCAAAAGAGTACAAAGGAAAAACAACCTAGAGATCAATATTCCTCATCAATGCAAAATCCTTAACATAGCATTAGCACATCAAATCCAGATATATATAAAAAAGACAATACATATCACAGAAATGCAAGGTTATTTTAAATTTGGAAATCAATTGGTGAAATTAGTTGGTTAATATTAACACATTAACAGAAGAAAAAAATATGATCATCTCGCTAGATACAGAAAAAGCATTCGACAAAATTTAATGCCCATTCATGATAAAAACTTAGCAAACTAGGAATAGAAGGAAACTTTCTCAATCTGATAAAGAGCATATACAAAATCCTACAGCTAACATATGAAATGGTGAAAGACTAAATACACTCTATCTGAGATGAGACACAAGGCAAGCAGGTCCACTCTCACAACTTTCATTCAACATTGTACCAGAGGATCCTAGCTAGTGTAGTAAGCTAAGGGAAAAATGTGCGCAGAGCAGAAAGAAAAAAATAAAACTGATTTAAATTCGCAGATGACATGATCACGTACATAGAAAACCCCAAAGTTTGACAAGAAACCTACTAAAACGTTAAGTTAATTCAAAAGATAATAGGATATGAGGTAAAAGTTAATTTTACTTCTATATATTAGCGAGGAACAGTTTGAAAAATTAATTTTTAAAATACTGTTTACAGTAGGATTCCAAAACACGAAATATTCAGGGGTAAATTTAACAAAATACTTGCAAGATCTACACAATGAAAACTACAAAACATTTCTGAGATATGAAATAATATCTAAATAAATGTAAATATATACCAAGATCATAAATTGGAGGACTCAATATTGCTCAAATGTTAATTCCTTGCAAATTAATCTATAGATTCAATACAATCCAAATCAAAATCCCACAGCCTTTTTTTTAGAAATCGACAAATTGATTCTGAAAGTTATATGGAAATGCAAAGGACTTAGAATAGCCAAACGGTTTTGAAAAAAAAGTAAAATTAAAGAAATTATACCACCACATTTTAAGACTTCTTATAAAGCTACACTAATAAAGACAGTGTTGTATTGGCTTAAAGATAGACATATAATCAATGAACATGGTAAAGAGTCCAAAAATAGACCCACATATATTGGGTCAGCCCTGGTGGTCTAGTGGTTAAGATTTGGTGCTCTCACCACCATGGCCTGGACTCATTTCTGGTCAGGGAACCACACCACCAGTCTGTTGGTTGTCACACTGTGGCAGCCGTGTGTGTGCTGAAAGCTGTGCCACTGCTATTTCAAGTATCAGCAGGGTCACCCACAGTGGACAGGTTTCAGGAGAGCTTCCAGACTGTGACAGACCAGAAAGAAGAACTTGGCCAACTCACTTCCAAAAAAATTGGCCATGAAAACCTATGAATTGTAGGGGATCACTGTCTGATGTAGTGCCAGCAGGTGAGAGGATGGCACCAAAAGACCCAGACAAGGTTCCGCTCTGCGGGGCGCTAGCAGTTGGAATCCACTTGATGGCACCAACAAAAATATTTGGTCAACTGATTTTCAAAGAAAGTTTCGAGGAAAGTACCAAGGTACAATGGGAGAAAAAACAGCCTTTTCAACAAATGTGCGTGCTAAAACAATTGGAAATCCACCTCCAAAACAATGACCCTCAGTCCTTATATCATACTGTACACAAAAATTAACTAAAAATGTATTATAGACTACCTGCTTATACTAATTTTTTAAAGTTGAGAAACTGAAAATATAAAGCAGGGAGAAAATCATCAGTGATGGTCCTAATTTCTTTAACAGCTGGTACCCCCAACATACTTGAATTTTACCTGAAATTTCTTGTCTTCCCGAAACTTTTTCTGATCGCATAATTCGTTGTAATGTTCTTGTAACTTAATATGAGTTTCTTTAAGTGATGATAACTCATTTTTAATCTCATTAATTTCACCATTAAGTTCTTCAACCTAATACAAAATTTAACCAAAATGAGCAGGTAACTAAATGTGTTCTATATGAAAATACTTTATTAACACAAGTTTTAGGAAATAGTAAAAAATGAAAACAACCCCAAAGTAATTACTAATATTAAGAGCTACCACTGAATTGTGCTGAGTCTTTAATAAACATAATTTCATACTCATAAAGGTCCTATGATGTATTTTTAATCCCCAATTTGTACGTGAGAAATATAAGGCTTGAAGACCTTAATTAACTTGCCCAAGATCAGGTCCATAAAAGTAGTAGTCAGGATTCAACCCCAAAGCAAAATCTAGGGGTTGTGTTCTTAACTACTACATTAAACCACCTCTCGTTACAAATATAAAATTATTGATTTATTTTTGATCATAAAAATTCTATGAAAGTTACACCTTCATTGCTTTCTTGAAGTTTTATTTTCTGGTTGCAAATTAGATATATGGATTTTAACTCGACTAGATGAATAGTAGTACCGAGCACCAAGGAGTAAAACAGACACTGACAGTTCAGCCTAATATTTACATCTATACACTGGGCTTTCACTGACAACAAAATTTCATAATCTTTTTCTTGGGGAGTACTCTTTCATGGAATCCTCAAACACAGACAAAGTAAGTTCCACTGAGGAGAAAAATTCCCTTTTGTCATGAAAGATTATAAAGTTTCTCTTCAACTAGTTTAAAATTACTAACAATTTCACAAATGCATGTAATATTCCTTATAGAGGCTAACAGACAGGAGCTCACCTATTGCTTTCCCCCCATCTCTTCTATTTTTAAGCATCTTTAGTCCATCTCTGCGCGGTGCTTCTTTTCCAAGGCTCACCTCTCTCTGTGATCTCACTCCCGTCTCCCTGAGAGCCTTGCTCCATCCAGCAAGGCTCTCTTGCCTGCTGACATTCTTTCCGCTATAACAGCGTGTTCTCCTCAGCCCACAAATATGCTCTTCTCACCTTCCTAGTTTTTTTTCTCCTTGACCCAATTACTCTGTCTCTCTCACTTCTTAAAGTCCACACTTGTTGATTTAAAATTCTAACCTCCTATCACTCCTTAACAACCTGACTTCTGCCCTCATTGTTCTACTGATTTTTTCCTCAGATATCACCTGCCTATAAGCAAAAGGATTTTTTCCAAGTTTCATACCATACCATTTAACAGCTCCGTAGCATGACTATGTTGACAACCTGTCCTTGAAAGAGTCTCTTTTCTCTGCTTTAACGTACTACTCTCTTTATCCTCCTCCCTTTCTCACATTCTAACGATGGTCCCCCTCCTCCCCTTTTGCTTCCCGCCCCCCCCACCCCCCCGCCCACTCTCTCTGTCTCTAACCACTCACAAAATGTTGGCATACTTCAAGGCTCTTTCTTCTTTAACCTTCTTCTCTTCAAGTCTTCCATTCCTTCCATAGATAATCTTATCATACCTATACCTTCAAATTTCATCTTTATGCTAATAAATCTTAAATCTGTATCTCATCTCCCAACTTCTCTCCTAAGATTAGATTCACATTTCCAAATGCATGGTGTGCATTTCAAGCTAGATCTCCTGCAGGCCCCATAAATTCAACAGTTCTAAAATTAAACTCAATATTTCCATCCACCAAATCTGCTTCTCCTTTCACATTCCTTATGTAGGTTAATGACAGTATTATTCTACTAGTTATATGATTCTCAGACTCTCACACTGGACTCCTTTCCCCTTCTAACACTCAGTATATAGAAAATGCCACTAATCCTGCCAATTCTACCTCCAAAATGCTTCCTGCATCTCTCTCTTCTCTGTTCTCATTACTATTGCCCTAATTCACACCCACAGAGGTTGATGGTTAGATTATTTGCAATATTCTTCTTACTGGTCTCTTTCCATAAAGCCATCCTCTACACTATTGCAAGAATTATTTTTCTAAAACACAGATCTGACTATGTTATTTCTTTGCTTTAAAATTCTCAGTGGCTTCCCATTACTTGTAAAATTCAACTTCCTTAGTAAGGAACCCTTCAGAAGGTGATCTCAACTCATTTTCTAAAATCACATTCCACACATCCTGTGCTTATTCAAACCAGACTATTTGTAACCCTTGAAAGTGAAGTTTCGTGCCTTCATGATTTCTCTCATTCTTTCTTTCTTTTTTTTTTTTTCCCCAAAGATTGGCACCTGAGCTAACAACTGTTGCCAATCTTTTTTTTTTCCTACTTTTATCTCCCCAAATCCCCCCCATACATAGTTGTCTATCTTAGTTGTGGGTCCTTCTAGTTGTGGCACATGGGACGCCGCCTCAACATGACCTGACGAGCAGTGCCATGTCCGCACCCAGGATCCAAACCCTGGGCCGCCGCAGCGGAGTGGGCGAACTTAACTACTCGGCCACAGGGCTGGCCCCCTCCCATTCTTTCTTAAATGCAATGCCAACAGGAAGGAATGGGAAGTGTAGGAAATGGGCACCTATTGCCTGGTGAAACCCTATTCGTCTTTCAAGGCCAAACTCTAGTGTCATCTTTTCTCTAAAACTTTCTCCAACCTAGCTAAATGACATGGCTTATTTTGTGCTTTCATAGTAATTTGTTAATACTACTAAAAGCACTCCATACTATTGTGGTTAATTTCCTAGTTACCTGTTCCTTTGAGAGTGTGACTCTTTATTAATCTTTGTATTTAAAGCATGTTTGAAAGTCCACTATCTAGAACAGTGCCTAACACATAATACATGCTCAACAAATGTTGTGAATCAAGTTCCGTTTGTGACCACCCCCACTTCCCCTGAGTAATTCCTGAACATCCTCATTTACTGTCTTTTTGTCTATACCTATCCACTGGCTATATAACTAGCCAAATGAAAACAGATATACATAACACTGTTCTTTATAATATTTCAATGAATTTTAAATATATTGTCTAATAATATTCACTAAGTTCTATTTGTACGGTATTTTCTTTCACTGTTTTCTTTTTTGAAACCAGCATTTATACGATTCCATCTTATTTTTGTCCGTATCTTTTTTTAAGCCATCTTGATCCAATCTCAGTAGCAATACTATAATTCTATAATTGTCTTTCACTGAAGAATGGTGAAAAACTTTGAGACAGAAATAGAATTAAAGAGTACATCTGATCTCCCATTCAAGAAAACTCTAATAGAACCAAAGCAGCTTTTTCTTAATTATGTTCTGTTTAGCACTAAACCATATGGCAGTGAAATGATTATAGATGCTAAAAATCCTAAAAACAAAACCAATTTCATTTAAATTTACAGACTGAGGCCTTACCAGTGAAACTGAATGCATATTTTTCTTAATTCAATTGATTTTTTTCTTGGGGGAGGGGCACAGTTGTAGTTTCATCGGGAAAAATGAACATTTAATCTTCTTAGCTCAACTAATCTTTTTTTTTTTTGGCATGGCTGGCAAATTTAAGTTTATATTCCCTTTTCATTTTACAGTTTTCCTTATCCTGACTACCATTTCCATGGTCTTTTAAACATTAGGAATGAGAAGGAAGTGTTGGGGTGCAATGTGAATTAGTTAAAGCTAAAATAAATATTATTATGCTTGTTGCTTAATGATAAACTTTACTAGTTTAGAGATTATTAGGCATTTTTTAGTATGCTGGTAAAATTAATTACAAAATACTTTTTGAGATTTGGGTAAAGCTTATCAAATTCATCAGTGAAGACTTGATCTCTCCAAAATGCAAATTAAGAGAACATGTTAGCTGCAAATGAATTGAAAAATCAAGAGTTACTTATATATAACAATTATATCAAACAAAATTACCTACAGAAAATGTTATCAAGCTGGTATTTAGATATATATTACATTAATAAAATATTAGAATAATATAGTATAATTAGTATAATAGTCTAAAATATAGTCTTACTTTCCCAAAATATAGCTTTCATAAACTCATAAATAGTGACTTTCTATCGTGTTACTTCTTTTAAAGAATTGAAAATCAATAAAAATAGACATTAAAATAGAAGAATCAATTTTGGGATCCACAATCTCTAAAGTGAACCTTTATATTTCACAACATTAATTTACATCATTTTACACTTTCACTATCTAGTTCACTGAAATCAAAATTTAGTATGAAATAGACCACTGTGGTTTAAGGAAATAGTCATGTTTATAACGTATCAACTCTGATGATAAAATCTTAACACTATAGAACTCAACTACTGTATACATGTTCTAAACATGGCTTTAATGCATCTCAACAAAACTGCTGAGGAAGCTAAATAGATCAGCTAACAATAGTACCTATGTAATTGTTTATTTTAATCATTTACTAAAATACTATGCAATAGTTTTATGAAAAGTTAAATTAATTTTTCTTTGTCGCATATGGGAAGTCAAATTTGATATATATATATAAATACACACGTGTATATGTATGGTTTTTCATGCATGAAAGCATTATAAAAACTTTATTAAATCTAGCTTTTAAAAAGCATTCACCTCTTGGAAATGTAAGTGCAAGAAGAAAATGTCTGACTTTACTCCTATATTATTTTTGCAATATTTTCTTAGCATTTAATAGTTATTTTAAATGTCTACAACTATTTAAAATATTTCAATATTTAATAAACTTACATGCTTTTTCCAAGTTCCTAGTGCCTTCTCATGCTCATTTTGAAGATTAAGGAACTTTTCTTCATTTTCTTTTACCTTCTCCCTTTGCAGCTCATTATCTCTTTCAAGGGTCTGCAATAAAATTAATTATCCAAAAAATAATCAATACCACATTAATGAATTTTGATGTGTTTTATGTTGCTTGGACCTTTGCTTCTAACATGCTGAAAGTGCCATACAGATCAGTGATAATGTGCTATCTCAACAATAATTTTCATAAATTAACAGAAAGGTGCTTATAGTTTAGTTAACAGGAAATAGGGGGAGGTTATGAAAAAGAAATGGCTATAAAAGGGTATAAAAACATTGCCATTATTCAGTTTCACTGCATAAGTTTTAATGTACTGAAAAAGTAATATAAAGTACAGCACTGAAAAATATGAAATGTAGCATAATCCAGCCTAACACTACTAAAAAATTTTAACTACCCTAGAACATTTTTTCTGTATCTGTTTATTTTAGAAATTAACTGGCTAGAAAACCCTTAAATATAATTTTAATTTTCAAATTAACACTTTTTAGTAGAGCTTCAATATTTACCATATTAACTTATTATTTCATAAATTAACATAATCACCAGCACACCACCCTCTGCCCCCCCAAAAATCTTTAAAAGTAAAATACTACCAAGTGTTTTCTAAGACAAGGGTTTTAAAGCTATTAAATCAGTGTCACCAATATTATTAGGTTTCTTCAATGTCTGCTGATAATCCAAGTAAACTTCTGTAAAAGGGTAAACAGTAAGAATTCTACCTACATGTCTGATACCTCTGGGATTTTTAAGTTCATTTGTTTATCACCATGAAACCTATGTACATTCAGGGTAAACATTTTAAGCCATGCAAAGGATATAAGAAGAAAAAGCAAAGTTTTCCTCTATCGGTTCTCTAGTTCTCCTCCCCAGAGGTAACCACTTAGCTGTTTCGTGGGTATCCTTCCAGAAATTGTCTCTAAGCATAAAAGTGTATAGAATATATATTTTTACATACAGATGAAACTATATCATACATACCATGTTATTCTGTAATGTTTTAAAAAAATAATATGTATTGTTTACTGTCCATATCATTATATACAGATCTATCTTATTTTAAAGGCTTCATAGTATTGCATCTATTTAGACTTCTCAATTATATCTAGTATCAATATGCAAAAAAAATAATTACGCAAAATTATGGAAACATCTAATAAAATGTACTTTACAATTTCAACATGATTCTCCTCTATCTCATAAAGAGCTATGCACTATTGAAAGGACTCAATGAACACCTATTTTGATTGTCTCTACTTCAGAATGAAGTAAATATTTTTACAGAAGTCATGTTTTCTTCTTAATTTATAGGTACATATAATAATAGGGCATTCTGAATATTTACAATGGTGTATATTTAATAGATGCTTACTACTTGAACATTCTAGCAAATATTTTACAGTATCTCTTTATATTGATAACAGTGTATTTTGGGAGATAAACAAAGTTTAGAGGAGACATGGAAGAATATGCCATGGTCTCTATTCTGGTAATAAATGACCAAGAGCATTACGTTCTAAAACTGTGTATTAAGTATGTCAATCATTTCCTGTCCCTGTCCATATCCCCATCTAAGAGAAACTGCCTACATCAGGTATTCTCTCAGTTTCTGTTTTTTGGAGACATTTCATCCTTCCATTACAATTTGGACCTATTGCTCTTTCCATTTGCAACACGGCTAAGGTTCTCTCTGAGGACTTCTTGTCTCTTCTGGGTGGATCTCCTGTTTCCTAGACATCACGGTTCCCTCTTTCCTATTTTATCCCCCTGTCTTGGTAAAGCAAACTTTCTATTACTTCTTGATAAAGGAGGCATGGATAGTACTGTTTTTTGAGATCCTGCATGTCAAAATATCTTTATTCTACCAATACTTAACAATTTGTTTGGGTGAACGCAGTACACGTCTGCTTGGGAAATCTATTTCTCCCCAAGCTCTAAAAGTGTACTTCTATTATCTTCTACCTTCCAGTGTTGCCAGTGAGAAGTCTGAGCCATTACACTGCCATTCTTAATTCTCTGTATATGACCTACTTTTTTTTTTTCCCACAGAGAGTTTTAGAATCTTCTCTTTGAGTGTAGTATGAATTTCACAGTGATATGCATTGGTGTTGGGCACAACAAAGTCAAATCCTTCAGTTCTAGGCTACCATCTTGTATTATTTCTTTGGTCATTTCCTCCTTCCATTTTCTCTGTTCACTCTGAAACTTATCAGACCTCTTGGACTGACTCCTCAGTTTCTCTCTCTCTTGTTTTCCATCTTCTTGTCTTTTGGTTCTGCTTCCTGGAAGACTATCTTCCAACCTTTCCATTGTATTTTTATGTCTGATAGTATATTCATTTTAAGGGTTCTCTTTTATTTTATGAAGATTTCCTTTTTTTTAATAGATTCCTAATTCTTGATTTGGGGATTAATACATATATTTCTATTAACTGAGTATATTTTCTTAGTTTCTCCAAGTTTTTTTCATTACCCTGTTTGTTTTGTCAGTTTTTCATGTTGGAGACTTTCAAATGTCTAATGATCTTTAACCGCCTATTCATATTTAAGAATAAGGTTGAAAGTTTTGTCAGATGGTGAGCTTCGCTGTAGGTTGACCTGGCTGAGCTATTTCACTAGGAAAGTTTAACTGTAGCAGCTATAGGCTTTTCTCTTGAGCAGGTTAGTTCCTCCAGAAAGGAATCTTCCATTATCCTGCCTGGAAGTTATAAAATTAGCTGCCCTCTAAATGGGAAAACTGGGCTGGGAGGTCTCAGAATTCTGTACACTTTCCACTTGTTTTCAATAGAATACTCTCACCAATGTACTGGCAAAAAAAAAAAAAAAGCAAAAACGCCTGATTTGCAGCATTTGCGAATTTCATTAGTGTTAAATAGTCCCACTAGGGTCAATTTTAAGCTACCACTGGTTTAACAACCACCTCACAAAATGACAACAGCCCTAATAAGCAGCTCGGCCTGGTACAAGCTGTCTCCAACAAACCACTGGATCGCCCCAACCTCAGCGGTCACTCAAACTCTCCAACGTAAACCCCCAAGCTTCTGCCTGTAGGAGACAGCCAGTGCCTATTTGTGCAGGGTAGGGAAGAGAATCTGGAGGGGCAATAGGTTCTTATATAGATCTTCTAGTTTTTGTTTTGTTGGGGGGTTTTTTTGTGAGGAAAATTGGCCCTGAGCTAACATCTGTGCCAATCTTCCTCTATTTTATATGTAGGATGCCACCACAGCATGGCTTGATGAGTGGTACGTAGGTCCATGCCTGGGATCTGAACCTGCGAACCCCTGGCCATCAAAGCGGAGTGTGCAAACTTAACCAGTGCACCACCAGGCATGCCCTAGACCTTCTAGATTTTGGCTTCAGTTGTGCACCCTAGTTGTAGAGGCACATGCCACTTGCAATTCCTGACCATTTCTGCATCTTTGACTTGTGTTTCTACTTTCTCTCATTTTCCAAGTAAATTTCTAATTTTGCATCTTATTCCTACTTTAAAAACTTTATTTTTATTGTTTCCTCTCCCTATTTCCTTGTCCTTGTAGATTTATGAATGTTATTTTACTGCAGTTTGAGAAGGAAATAGAAGTGAATGTGTGGGGGCTGGCCCGGTGGTGCAGCAGTTAAGTTCACATGTTCTGCTTCGGCAGCCCGGGGTTTGCTGGTTCAGATCCCGGGTGCGGACATGGCACCTCTTGGCAAGCCATGCTGTGGCAGGCGTCCCACATGTAAAGTAGAGGAAGATGGGCACGGATGTTAGCTCAGGTCCAGTCTTCCTCAACAAAAAGAGGAGATTGTCAGCAGTTAGCTCAGGGCTAATCTTCCTGAAAAAAAAAAAAAAAAAGGGAATGTGTGGCTTCAACTCAACATATAACCAGAAGCCCTGACCTGGCAATATCTGAACTTGCAAAAAGTCTGAATTTATTCATTGTTAATCAATCATTCGTTCATTTAATAAAATTTAATGAGCTCCTGCTATGTGCCAGATACTCTTTGAGGCTCTTATTTGGCATTATTTGCATCTGGATTAACAAATCTGAAACCCATCTCTGAAAAATGGATATTGTGGAAAGTCAAAATAAAACTATCTGTTAATGCTTTAATATACCAAAAACTAAGTAAATTATCCTGGTTAGTACTATGTTAATACTATGACTATAAAAGCACACTAAGTAAATTATTCTTGTTAACACTATGACTGCAGCTGCATACTATACTTATATCTGGACTAAACCATAATTAAATCATAGTAGAAAATATTCTCTATCATGAGAATTTAGGTCTCTATGCTCCACATTGTACTATTATTAAAAAAATAAGATAGGGCCAACCCAGTGGCTTAGTGGTTAAGTTCGCATGCTCTGCTTCAGTGGCCCGGAGTTTGCCAGTTTGGATCCTGGGTGTGGACCAGACCTTGTCAAGCCATGCTGTGGCAGGCATCCTACATATAAAATAGAGGGATGGGCACAGATGTTAGCTCAGGGCCAATCTTCCTCAGCAAAAAGAGGAGGATTGGTGGGAGATGTTAGCTCAGGGCCAATCTTCCTCAAAAACAAAAAAAAAAAGATAGATGACAGTATGATTGCAGAGCACTGAAAAACAGTAGACCCCTAGGAAGAGTAATGACCCCTTTTAGTACAGGTGGAATGAGAATGCTCCTCAAGAGAACACTGGAGATATCTATGCAGCATAATCCTCAGCAACAGTTCAACGTTAATATTTTGTTACACTATATATCAGTAGTTCTCCAACACCAGTCTGCAAACAAGTATTGATCCATGACAAAACTTCACTAGTCCATGGCAAAAAAAAAGTCAATATAAGGTCATCAGATGTCTTTTCTTGTAAAAGACTGTCCATTATCCTGAGATTATATCCTTAATGTACTTTTGGAGTCAAAATGTTCTCTTTTATAAAATAAAAGTGATGATAGATAGTACTATTTATTTTTTAATGTCCTTACTTGTCAAAATAAAAATCTGACACTTCTATCCTGTTTGTGCCAATACTTGGTTTGAAATTTTACTATATGAAATCTAGTTTCTCTATGAACTGTCAAGGTAATAATGGTGCTAAAGAAAGAGGCAATTGGATTATCTAAGATATTGGCAGTTATAGTTAAAAGATCCTGGAACCACAGTTAAGTCATTGTTAACTCAAAGAAACACAGGACTATATATATCTATGACTACAATAGGCCCTATAGAATATTCAATGATACATAAATATTGGATTTAGAGCTTATGAAGGGCAGTTTAAAAGTTGTGGTCTTCGTATAACTGATCTAACAAAAGTAGGAGCTCTCATAGATCTAGGAAAAATACATTAACAACGTAATGTTGTAGAAATAGTGCTGGAGCAGAATCAGAACCAAGACTTAACCATAGTCTTCCCACTAATGATGAAGCCTTGAACTACATCACTTACACTTGCTGGATATCTATTTCAGCATGAAATGAAATGGCTGGATTGGCTAATCTCTAATATTTTGTTCAGTCTAAAAATCTATGTTTCAACTCCTTTAAATGGATTAGGAGACAGTCCTGCTAACTGCAACTCATAAAGAACTTGGGTAAATGATGTGTTTCTTGGGAGAAAGTTCAACACACTGTATTAGAGAAATAGTCCCAGTTATCCATCTATAAAGTGGGTAGAGGAGGTGGAGGGATACTTGCTTATAATTGGACTTTCAAAGAAATTTTTTTACTAGCCTTTTATTGGAGTTAAGAAGAAGGAGAAGTTTGACTCTAGCACACTTCTTCCCTCTCCCTCTTCTAGGTCTAACTCCTACAGTATTGGGGGCAGGCAAGAGAAATAAGAAATGCAAAACTCTCTTTACATGACTAGTCATAGAACATCAATGGTAAGGAGATAAAATTGCATTGTTCAGGTTAAGTGTGGTTCCATTCAATGATGATGGACTCAGCATAATTTGTGAGGACCAGTGCAAAATGAAAAAAGGAAGGGAAAAAAGCACTATTAAAGATACTAAAATATAAAACTTTTTCCTTTCTTCATGATCCCTCTCTCCCTGTCTGTTTCTCTCTCTCTCTCCCTGTTAACCTATCATAATGCTTTTTATTTTCTATTTAACGTCATGGTCCCTTGGGCAGGGGGATACTCACAGGGCAAATGCAAGTCTTCACAGATGCCTAATGGCCTAGCCACATGACTCAGCACAACAAGATCCACTAGCTACTGGGTTCTACCTCCTGGACCCATGTACTATGTCCTGGCTGGGGGTGGGGAAGTTAATCTCCCTGTCCCACAGGCCCTCTGTCCCAACCCATGGCAAATGAGTAACCCCCAAGGGATTGCAACTGCTGGGCAGGGATATACCTCAGTATCTGGACTTGGGACTCGCTCCCTGCCAAGACACCTACCTAACATGCCAAGGCACTGCCAACCTGGACAGAAGATGCTATGATGCACATGCACTCGACCCAGACCTTCCCTGCTACATCTAGCCCCCACCAGAGGTAAAGGGCAAGAGCAGAACAAAGGCCTTTCTCTATCAGTGTGACCCAGTCAACCCACAGCAGTGGTGAGACAGGAGCAGGAAGGAGGAGGCCAGGCAGGGCCAAGGGCACCAAAGGGTGGAAGAGCCAGCAGCCAAGAACTGGTCCTGGGAGACAGTGGGAGACAGTGGGAGACAGGAGAATGTCTGAGCCGAGGCTCCAAGCCCCCAGTGCATGCTCCATTTTCCCAACAGACTTAATTTACAAAACATACATTCAAAGTTAAAAATTAGGGGCCAGCCTGGTGGCACAGTGGTTAAGTTCGCACGTTCCACTTCGGTGGCCCGGGGTTTACCGGTTTGGATCCCGGGTGCGGACATGGCACTGCTTGGCAAGCCATGCTGTGATAGGCGTCCCACATTTAAAGTGGAGGAAGATGGGACGGATGTTAGCACAGGGCCAGTCTTCCTCAGCAAAAAGAGGAGGATTGGCAGCAGATGTTAGCTCAGGGCTAATCTTCCTCAAAAAAAAATTAATAAAAATTTTAACACAGTGACCACAGAATATTAAACCTGAAGCATGAGGCTCTTCTGAGTATGGGTCCCTCTGCAACTGTACATTTACATACCAATGAGGCGGGTCCTGGCCTCTGCTGATGGTGGTTTTACATGAGAGGTAATCCTAGTTTTCTTGGGAAATGTTCAGCTTCACCCTTTATTACCAAGAATCCCTTGAGAGGGGCACAAATATGTTCCACTGGCCACCCCAGGAGAACATGTCCCCAGCTCCTTCTCTTGAGATGGACATCCCATCACTCAGCCTAGTGACACACAGGGCAATTCCTGCCCTTCTGCTAACCTCCATGTTCCTTCATGTGCAGCCAAGGAACCTCCAGGTTCTCCCTTTTGCACCCTTCCAGGGCCATATACTATTGGAACAAGCATAACACACTTCAAGCCCCATTGGCACAGATTACTCCAAAAACTTTCCTCCTTGAAATTTCTAGACCAGAACTGGGCATCAATTTATATGTTCTTGGTACACTTTCAAACTTCAAGAAATACATGCCAAGTTCTTCCACATGAACTTGTCACATTCTACTCTACTGGTAACTCCAGAGTGGACTTCAGGTTTCCACAATATTTCAAGCATCCATCTGAGGAACAAGATGGCAGTCTGCCCTTCTTATACACCCATCTATCCAAGTGATTTTCCTGTAGACCCTTTCACTTAGCTTCATGAGGGGAAATACACCCCCTCCACTATGGATCTAAGAGAAAAAGCCTCTTATTGAACCTTCAACTCACAAAACAGCCATAATTTCTTCCCCTCCCCAGCCACTTTCTTATATACACTGGAAAGAAGATGATAGCACAATTGTTGTGGTAATAGGATCAGTTCTATCATGTTCCTGTGAAGAGAGATCTGCCCCCAATTTCTGGGAGTCACTGACCACTCTCTTAGAATATGGTGACACTTGTCACCTTTTATTTTCAGTTTTGGATCTTGGCTCCAATTCTAAGACAAAGAAAAGAAAAATCCCATTCAATCTGTTACAAAATTAAATCAAATACTTGATAAAATTGACATTTAACTAGTGACTTAAATGTTTTTTAAAAAATGCTCATTACTTTGGACATTTATACCATGTTGATGAAGGAAGCCATTATTTTACCCCTAAAATCCAAAATGACCTCAGATAAAGTTGGACAGATGCATGCAGCTAAACAGGTGAAGCTCATTAGATGAAAATATTTAAAACATATATATATATATATATATATATATATATAAAACCTGAGTATTTTCCTTTAGCACCTTCAATTCTGCTTCCATTTCAGTATTAGCTTGAGTCTGTTGCTGAAGTAATTGTTGCATATTTTGGTAAGAAACGATGATATCCTTTAAAAAAATATAAATATATATATTGATTGAAAAAGTTTTAAGATAGTAGGTATGTTTCTAAACTCATTCTTAAAATACATTTTCTAGTTTCTTAACTTCTTATCTTTATAGTTTAATTTCAATGCTATAACAAACAATATACTGAAATAAATTAATGACACATTTTACTAATTTAATATCTAGAATAATTTATATTACATGATTTCTTACACAGTACTATTTTCAAGAGTTCCTCAAATAACAAACTTTTTTGAAATGGACCATAAGTTCTGAGACACTACTGAAAAAGGTGAAGAATTCAAAACTAAAACGTTTGTTGGCTTGCTCTCCAAATAGTAAATATATCACTACTAAAACGTCATATTGCTAATGGGCTAGGATGTTATGGCATGCATTCAGAATCAAATGGAGGAAAAAACAGAGGAGGAAAAAAGAAACAGGAGAAGTTTTCTTTCTCACACTTTTTTTTTAAAAATAGAAGAATTATAAATGTCAAATAGATTTAAATAAGAGTATAATATCCTGTAAATGCATGCTCTAAGCATACAGACATTTCAATAATTATCTGCTAGGGTAACACTGGTCTAAATCATCAAGGAAAAGGCTGATTTATTTTAACTCATTCTATTTATTTAAAATACACACACACACACACACACACACACACACACACACACACATATATTTGGCTGAGGAAGATTCACTGAGCTAACATCCATGCCAATCTTCCTCTATTTTGTATGTGGGTCACTGCCACAGCATGGCTGCCAACAAGTTGTGTAGGTCTGCACCCAGGAACTGAACCCAGGCTGCTGAAGCAGAGCGCACCAAATTTAACCACTAGGCCACGGGGCCAGCCCCTATAAAATATTTTAATGTAACATTTTTTCCAGCTTTTGAGATATAATTGACATATATCATTGTGTAAGCTTAGGTGTGTAACATGATGATATGTGTATATATTGCCAAATGATCACAACACAATAAGGTTAACATCTCTATCACCTCACATAATTACCAATTTTTTTGTGTGTGGTGAGAACACTTAAGATTTACTCTCTTAGCAACTTTCAAGTATATATAACACAGTATTGTTAACTAAAGTCACCATGTGTACATTAAGTCCCCAGAACTTACTCATCTTATAACTAGAAGTGTGTACCCTTTGACCAACATTTCCCCATTTCTTCTCTCATTTGTTTTTTAATGGGAGTATATGTGAGACCTGGTTAAAAAGGTACACATGTATTCATTCAATATGCACCAACTGAGTACTTACTATGTGCTAGGAACTGACCTAGGCATGATTCCATTTGTTACTTATTTCCCACATTGTATCTGCTTTTTAAAATATTTACTAGCTTCCAAAATATCTTATGATTGCTTGCCTGTTTTTCTTCTTGAATATGGATAATCTCTTCATTAATCTTCTTATTTAATTCCAATTCCTTAAAAAATGTGAATAATTTTAAAGTTATGATACAAAATTTGGCGAGTTCTACATTCAATTCAGTGCTCAACAAATTTGGAAGTGTCATGACCTATTATTACTCCAGAGTGCCAACACTGTTTGCTGTTGAAGTGGTGACTCTAGTGAACTGAATATGTATTAGATACCCAATACAGGCTGGTACAAACTTATAAATGTTAATATTAAAAACTATACAATTTCTCATCTCCAAAAACTTTTCTGGAGACACCACTGTACCAGAAGATTACCTGATACCATATTAAAGTGGAAATAAAATAGTTATAGCCAAATTTTACTGTCCTAAAGTCATGTTGATAATGGCAAAAATTATCTAATAATTAAAAAAAAGATTCATAATACCTTTTTTTACTATGTATATTAACTTTACGAAGAAGGAACATTTTTGTATTATAATCTGGAGCTTCAAAGTTTTACAAAAATATTAATTTTATACACATGAATATGTTTAATTAAATACCATGTTGAATCTTTCTTGAAGTTCTTGAAATTTCTGTTCTCTAATTGTTAAACTGATGTTTTCTTCTCCCATCTTATGTTGACACGCGATCTTGGACTTTATCAAGTCTGAGGTTACTTTTTTTAGCTCCTTAACATAGGAAAAACATCAAACAGAAAATTCAGCATACATATTTCATCAAAGCAATGTATTTTTCTGACATTTTTAAAGTCCATTTTTAAACCTATGATTATAATTTACTACATTTCATATATCAAGATAATACTACTGGTCCATCAAGGTCTATTTCCCCTAGTTCCCTTGCAAGATAAATAGCCAAGGTGGGAATGCTATTTGTGGCTATGGAATAGCAAAGACAATGATATAAGGATAAAATGCATGATCTTTGCTCTTAAAAAGAGTGCACTAACTAAATGAACTAAACAACCAGAACTAGGGAGTTTTCATTCATTACTTATTCAACAAAAATCTTCCCAGATGAAATGATAATAAAAAGATTATCAATTCCCAAGTTCATCAGCATCTAATAAGAAAAATTTAGGGGCTGGTCCCGTGGCGCAGCAGTTAAGTACACACGTTCCGCTTCTCGGCGGCCCGGCGTTCGCCAGTTTGGATCCCGGGTGCAGACATGGCACTGCTTGGCACGCCATGCTGTGGTAGGCATCCCACATATAAAGGAGAGGAAGATAGGCACGGATGTTAGCTCAGGGCCAGGCTTCCTCAGCAGAAAAGAGGAGGACTGTCAGTAGTTAGCTCAGGGCTAATCTTCCTCAAAAATGAAAAAGAAAAAGAAAAAGAAATTTATGTATGAAATAATTACATTATGTATGAGTGCTATATTACAGTAATGTATAGCAGCATAAAGAAGGAAACTGGCTGAGGGTATCAAAAAGGCATTACATGGAAAAATGGTATCTGAACTGAGTCTTTACAGATAAATTTGCAAAGAGGACCAAAAAGAGTAGACATTCCAAGCAAAAAGATTCTATGTGCACAAAGGGACAGAAACATGAAAGAGCATGGTATTTTTCAGGGAAACAGAACTAACACGATATGGCTGGAGCTAATATGCTATGGATAAGGGGGAGGAGTAGAATATTGGTAGTTTTAGCTAGAAATCTGGCAGGATTCAAATACTGAAAGAGATCTGTAGGCCAAACTAAAGAGTTTTAATTTTATCCTATAGGTGATGAGGAATTAACCATCGAAGGATTTTGAGTAGGAGAATGACATAATATATTTTCTACGATGGACAATATTCTGATACTGACTCTTAAGAAAGCCGAAAAGCACAAATTATTAGGCCTGAGCCTATTGTAACTATTCTCAAAAAAAAGTCCTTCATTCATATTTTTTAAAATTGTAAAAGGTTACACCTGATGAATTCCCCCAAGTGAAGTTTCAATGTACCAGTGATGGTTCACTTTCACAGGCAGCAAGATAGTTTCCTTCGAAAGGAGAGTTGTATGAATTTTTGGGGGGTGGAGGGGAGGAGGAGAAGGGATGCAGAGAATGAAAAATCAATCCAAGGTGTGCTCTGCTGATCCTGAAGTTAAAATAAGTCATTAAAGGAGATGACTTACAGGCAGTTGAAAATAGGGAACCAGAGATAAAGAGAAATGTGAGGCTGGAAATAAAGATATGAAATGAAGTGAATGAATGAATGAATGTAGGAGTATAAGCCAACTGAAAGAAAGAATATGGGGGCCAGCCCCATGGCCAGGTGTTTAAGTTCTTGCACTCCACTTTGGTGGCCCAGGGTTTCACCGGTTCAGATCCTGGGTGCAGACATGGCACTGCTCATCAGGCCATGCTGAGGTGGCGTCCCACATAGCACAACCAGAGGTACTCACAACTAGAATATACAACTATGTACTGGGGGGCTTTGGGAAGAAGAAGAAGAAAAGAAGACTGGCCACAGATGTTAGCTCAGGTGCCAATCTTTGGAAAAAAAAAAAAAAAAGAATATAAAAAAAGAAAAACTGAGACCTCAGGACAGAGCTTTGGAGGAATGGAAGAAAAAGGAAGACAATCAGGGAGCCAGAGGAATTTATTTGTACCAAAAGACCTTTAGAAACTGAACTATCACATAGAACTAGAGATGTGCAGACTCAATGCATATAAGAAGCTGGCAGTGCAAGAGTATGAATAGTTATTCCCTTTTAATAAATATATGCTTTCTAATGGGGATGAAGGAGAGAAGAAACTTATGTGGATAAATTGCTTATGCTGCTACTATATTAGTAGAATGGTTAAGATCACAGGTTCTGGAGCCAAATTTGTCTAGATTCCAATCCTAGCTCTATTTTTCTTGTTGTGTAACTTTAGGTTACTTACTTAACTTGATTCTGCCTCAAGTTCCTCATCTGTAAAATGGGGATATAATTTTTAAAAACTGAACACAGTGCCTGGAATGTAGTATTCCACCCAGTAAGTACTGTGGATCATCTATTATATGCTAGGCACTATTATCTATTATTGCTACTATGGTGAATCCAAAGGAATTCTATGATTATTTTCTCTACTTTTAAAATAAAGTAGTCTGAATGCTTAATAGTGCTGTGAATAATTGTTCTTTTCTTTATTTAAAGAATTAAGACTCTTCTTTCATAGCTGACAACAGTAAGGGTTCTCCTATAGACTAGAACTCCTCAAGGAAAGGCACCATGATTCATACTCATCCCAAAGCACATTAATACATTCAGGGATCTAAGAGGAACTAAAGATGAGAATGAACATAAGAAGAAAAGAGTGATGACCATGATATGAAAAAAGAATGTGACTTATCTTTACCTAAAATAAGATTTGATGAATTCATAAGTTGATTTATTCAAGATAAAGTAGACGGCAATAAAAATATTTGATGAGAGAAGTCAATATCAGCCAAACAGACTATTGTTAATGACACAATAGTTGACAGCGAATTTGCAAGATTGCATAGAAAGTGATAGCCATTAAGTATAGTGCTGAGGGTTTAATTGCTCACTGAACCAACTGGCTTCAAGGTGACAACTGCAGCCCTGTAGACCACCATGTTACAGACAGATGCTCCTGGTTTAAATGTGAACAGAACAGTGCAATTTCCTTACTGATAATGGAAAAATAAAGCTTAGTAGACGGTGAGTCACTGGCATTTAAAAGAAGAGCATATTTTTTGGCTAGAAAATAATCTTGACTATTATAATCAACAGCCCTAAGCCTGTGAGCCTAAAATAGGTTAATTCTGCATTATAAGTGCAGATCAAAGAATCCACTAGAAAACAATTACAAAAATAAGACAGTATAATAAGACATTACTCTAGTTCATAAGCCAGATGGTCTCTGATTTAACAAATTTATTGAACAAAAGAATTTATTGATCATATTATTTCTACCTTGGATAAATATTTGAAAACATGGGATTATAGTTAAATTGACCATGGATACTGAAGGATATAAAAATAAATCTAGTCATTTCAGCAATTAATTTAACATCTTAAAAACTTAAGAGATTAATTCAAAGGAAAAATGTCTGTTAGAGGATCTCAAAAGTTTTATCTCAACTCAGATTTATAGCATGTTTGACTGGTATTTATATTGTTACTCAGTATTTAGTCAAACGTCATCTGAGTAATAAAAATAAATCTTTTATGCTCAACTGATTCTATTTTTTTAAAAAGAGACCAATGATATTGGGTTTAAAATAATGTACATCTTTCTTTACACACTGGTGTTCCTAAAAAACTTGCCTTCAAGCTGTGTTTTTTGTAGACTAAAATAGTTTTTAAAAGAAAACTTGCAACAAGTTTTTTAATTTTTAATTTTTTTATATTGAATTTTCCTAAAGCAAGAGACAGCAGTATGAAATAAATAAACTTCAAACAACTTAGAAAGTAAATTATTACATGGCTTGTTTCATATTAGTGATCTGCTCTAGGTTTACTCATAAGACACAATGTCCTATTGATAAAAGTACAGTTAAAGTGAGGTATAAGGCTAAAATTTATATTCACATAAAGTGGCTTACAATTCTAATTTAAAAAGGAGGATTGGTTTTTAAAATTTTGTCTTCAGTCAAGATTACAAAGTGCAAAGACTTCTATGTCTTTCCATATTTTTCAACAACTGAAAACATGGAGCTGTTGTAATCAGCTAAATTTTATAGGAGACACTCCAAAATGCATCGATTCCTATTACAATAATGTTATGAAACAACAGGGAAGTGGGAAGAGGGACTAGGGGTGAAAACCCAGTATATGGCTGACAAAAGTAAAAACTAATCATTTCTTATGTCTTTCTTTTCTTCTTATAAATTACTTACTTAATCTTAAGAGCATAATAAATTAAAATCAGAGACCTCCATGAAGTGATTTTCCACTGAAAATATGCTTTTGATTTAACAGCCCTTATAGCTTTTAAATATCCTGAACTTTTAGTACATTGTCTGTTTTCTAACCATTTTATTCAAAGTTGTTAGTGCAGCAAATAAACAGCACATGCTTTGATCTCATTAAATTACAACTTATAGTTCCTAGAGTCATAAATATTGTGCCCTTTTCTCCTTTACCCCTCCTTTTCTGGTATGGGGTAGTCTGTTAAATATCACTATCTCCTTGAGTGCTCTGACGTTTACTCAGACAAACAGCAGAGGTTATGAATGTTGTTCACAGATAGCATCGGGAATTCTTCATGATTGCCATAATGGTGAACCCAGCATTCAAAACTGTAATACCTGGTTTAATCTAACAACTAAGTTTGGTCTGTTTAACTTTGCTCCACAAAAAAAAAAGAATTTTATCTTATCACAAACCAATAACTTAACTGTTCTGGACAAAATCATAAAACAGTACAAAAGAAAAATAAAAATTATCTTAGCAAAATTAGTAATTAAAAGTTTTAGATGAATTATATAACCAATGTTACTAAATGATTAGCTTCTGAAAAAGAAAATCAAAAGAGAAAAAACTTTTTTAAAGTTAAAAATCAAGACTACATAAAAACATGCAAAATTCCAAATTATTGTACCGAGAACGTCTGAAATATTAAAAATTGGCTGTTAAAATATATTTTTAAGTTCCTATCCTTTCAACTACTCGGCCCTAGAACTCTCAAAGGTAACAAAATTCTCTCACTTTATCCTTCCATACAAT